CTTAAATTTTCACTACAGATTTTCACGTAGCCAACTCATATACAGATTTTCTATTCTGTACACAATTTTAAATCCATCATAGGAAAATGCTCCATGGTATCCATCCTCAATGTGGTCATGGGTCACTTGAACTCCAGCATTCCGAAGTCGAGTGACATACATGACTCCATCATCTCTTAAAACGTCATATTGACAAGTGATGACATAGGTCACGGGTAAACCACGCAACTTGTTGTCATCAGCCAGCAGCGGGGCTGCCCTCACATCTAGGAACCCTGGATATTTTTTAGCTAGCTTGGAGCTACCATGAGTTGGACTATTATAAACATGTCCTTTTCTGAACTTCTCAGGAAGCAAGGAACTCCAATTAACAAACTTGAACAGATGGCTTGATTCCACTGGTACGTGTTGATTGAAGAGCATGGCTTTTTCAAGTGATTTATCTGTGGTAAAGTATTCACTCCAGAACCTGACCATAAGTGATTTGGGTAGACATGGAAAGTGTGAATGTTCCTTGTATGATGGCAAATCCATATCAAGAGCCTGAAGGGCAGGATATATTAAAGATTGGATTTTAAGTTTGATCTTAACATCTGGGTCTTCTTTGAGCTGAAAAACATTGAAATTAAGTTGCTTAAATGAGTAATTTTCATTTAAAACCACATATTTTCACTTAAAAACAATATATTAACATGATGTAAATTCAGAATCTCAAAAAGATAATCAGAAACAACAAAAATGTATCTCAAAGAATTTTCCAGTTCTCAATATTATAGGAGTCTATTAATATTGTCAATGTAAGCAAAATGGTTTGCACTATTTTCCCCATGAGTAGGGAAAGGGGCCATATAATTTGTGATTAGAAAGCAAAATCTCTACTTCTAAAATAAAAAATGGCCACCACAGGAATCCAATATTTTTTTTGAAAGTAAAAAATTTGTGTACGTACATTATTATATTAACAAGTGTGAACATTTAAGGGAAGGATAAAATAAATAGGAATTCTAATTTGGCTCTGAT